ACTTTCTGATCGCTTGTTTTCTTATCCTCTTTCTTCAGAGGTTACTACATTCCTCTACTTTTCTTGCGGTTTTATTAGCAGATTTTGTTGTACATTTATTAATATTTCTTTCTTTTCCAATCTATATATTTAAAATTATAGTTTTGTTTTTTTTTTCTTTGTTTCTAATTTTAAAATGAGGTTAGGTGATTTATGCTGCTAAAGATTTTATATTTCTAAACACAACAGCAATACTCCCCACCAGTAAAAAAAAATTTTTTATGTAAAGTAAAAATTAACAAAAACAACTAAGTAAAACAAAATATATCAGACGTTAAGGAATTAATTATATACACCACACAGAACATTTTGACTAACTCCCAGAGAAGGAAAAAAACTCTTCTCTTGATCTCTTTTTACATAACGGCAAGGCGCTATTCTTGCTAAAACGTGATATCGAGTAACGGCATGCCGCTATTACGAAGTTCATGGTCAAAGCAGACCGACAGATTTTATCCCTGAATTTTGTTCGCGGACGTTACAAAGTGTCCAAACAATAGCGGAATCTTCCAAAACCGGACGAACAATCGCAGACATTTGCAAACGTACGAGTCATTGAATTTTTTAGCCTATCTTTTAATAAAGCCGGGTTTAGACTTAGCCTTGTTAACGGAAAAGCCAATGTGATGACTATACGTGAGTCTGAAATCAAATAGTAAATCTTTAAAGCAAATTGCAAATTTTATAACACATAACTATTGGTAGAATAACAAGAAGACAGTGGAGACAATAGAAGAATATTTTCTTGCGTTTGCCTAATTTACATGACATACAGAACACCAGTCATTCAAAGCTGCCCATCAGGGTCAAGCATTGAATTAACAGAAGTATACATTTTCATATCATCATCATAAACATAAGAATTTTAGAAAAGCGGATACACGAACAAAGGTCCTAAATGTACAAAATAAACAAAAGAGAGAGAGTAACAGCTCCCGAGGAAAGCAGGATTTCCCGCGAGATAGTCGAGTCAAATAACACTCTTTGAGTACGGCCGGTAAGGTAACTGAAAAACCATAGCAAAAAATTCTCGGCGGCGTTAAGTCACCGAAGCTTAAAGATCAGAAGTTCATGATTAACTCTATCAAATGCTCTTGAGAAATCCGTACATATCACACCCAAATACTTCCCCAAAGCACAGGTCTGGGAAATGGCACATGTAAGCTCAAGCAAGTAGATGTTTGTTTATTTATTTACTTACAAGCGAAACTCAACTAAAATAAATTAACTGTGGAATTCAATTGACTTTTAGATATAAACCTTTTACTAATTAAAATTAAGGACTGGTATAAAAAATATAGGAAGAAATAAAGAAAAAAAATTAAATAATTCATGTATAATCAAATGAGAAAAGAAAAGAAGAACGAAAGTACCGAACAAAATTTCGAGTGAACCGCTAAGCAATTCAAAACAGGCAAAAGCTTGGCAACCGATACGGTAAACAACCCCAAATAATTTTCGAACCATAATGAGATATTAAGATTGCAAGCTAGTTTAAATACGACATAGGAAAATCACGCATATTAAGCAGAGTTGTTTTGAAAGGCTTTAAAGAATTCGATATCAAGATTAAGTAATAGACATCGTTTAGGATTCTGCAAATAGTTTTGAATGAGTTAAACAGCTGGTAATTATATTCACATTGACTCAGCTTAATGAAAATAAAGTGCCCAGAGAATCGGCTAGGCACATTAAAGCTTATCTCGCCAAGCAATGCGGACGTGTCGATAGTATCATTAATTAACTTAATTAAGAAGGAGACACCAAGAATAAATCGGCGTTTTTCAAGTGACAGTAAGGGTAACAAAAGCAACCTATATATAAGGAGGCAAAGAGACAAACGAATCCCAACACGAATTTCTAAGGCCCAACAGCACACGAATAGGTTTTGAAGTGATTTAATTGAATCTACATAACACCTATATGATGCAAGCCACACAAAATATTGGTCTAATTTAGCACTTGTATGGTCTTTTTGTAATGTAAAAATCCTTCAGGTCTTTGGACACCTCTCAATGAAACCAAGCGCAAACCTAGTTTTACTTAAAGAGAGCTCAATTTGCAAATTAAATCTTTGGTTGAATAGAACCTTTCCAACTTGTCTGCATCCATAAAATACCCAGGATTGAACCACTTCCTCCTCGAGAAAGAAAGCTTTTTTCATTTTTTTAGGCTTCATTTCGTACAATTTAAAGAGCACCGTGTAACCAAACTATTTAAGTCAATTCGAATTGCAATTCAAGGAGAAGGAAGACAACAGTTTAATATTAAGATCTAGCTAGATTTAATCACCGAGCGGCGATCATTAATATATAAATAAAATAAAATGGGTCGAAGTCAAGAATTTCAACAGACCCATGAAAGATACGTTATGAAGCTTAGAGCTTATCCATTCCACTCAGTACAACGCGACGCCCAAGACCTGGAGTTTAAAGATCAATAAGGTATGGTTAACTAAGTCAAACGCTTTAATAAAATCAGTATATACGACGTCCGAGCGAAAGCTGCTAGAAAGAGACTTGATAATATGGCAAGTAAACTTCAAGATATCCGCAACAGTTGGTCTTCCATTCTGAAAGCTATGCTGGAAAGGAGAAGCATAAGATTTGATAGCAAAAGCTAAACAATTAACAATGTATCAATTCGGTTAAACAGTTTAAGTAAAACACTTTACTTGGCGATGCCACTATAGTTCTCTTCGTGATGTCTATTTCCACATTTGTGACGCAGAATAAGGAAAATACGCCTTTCAATACAAAGAGAAAACAACTGATTTCAAGGACTGACGAAAAATCAATGAAATAACACCCCATAGCTCGTCACAGCAAAATTTCTATGTACACGTATTTACGTATAATTAACAGTTTAATTGAAATCATTAGTTAAAAAATTTCGTCGGAGGTATTCAGCAAAAATAATTGAGGTTCCATATCTCGAGAAACGTAGATTTGTTCTTGTCGTTTCCTTCGTGACCAGAGTAATAAATGGTGCTATTGACTCGCCTGCATTACTTGGTGAAATAAGCTTTAATGTCCCCAGCCGCTTCTCTAGGCACTTTATCTTGGTTAAGCTTAGTCAATGTAAATATAATTATGATCTGTTTAACCCGCTCAGAGTTGTTTGCCAAAATCTAAATGATGTCTATCACTTATTCTCATTTTCGGACTCTTTAAAGTCCATTAAAGCAACATTGCTTAATGCGCCTAATTGACCTATGTCGTACTCAAACTAGCTCTTAACCTTAAAAAGTCACGATGAGTCGAAAATGAATTGTTGTTAACTACTATCGGTTGCCAAGCTTATGCATGTTTGCGATGGCTTAGGGGTTCGCTTGCAATTTGGTCCAGCACCGGTTGTGGGTGTGGCTCTAGGCTAGTTGTGTACATGCTTTTTTTCTTTTTTTCCTTCTTATTTATTTTATTGTACTTATACTAAGTTTTAATATAAATTCATTTAAGATTTACTTTGAGTCAACTGAACTCGGCTGTCAAATTTTTAGTTGAGTTTCTTGTATAAGTGGAATAAATAAATAAATAATATCCGCCTGAGTGGCCGAGTAGGCAAGAGTCTCGACTAGCAACTCAATAGTCGTGGGTTCAAACCTCAAGTGCGGTAGAGTTTTTTAATAACAGCCGATAGCCCTAGATGCTAGTGCTTTAAGACTTTAGTCTTAGAATTTATTCTCTGGCTAAATTTATAATAATAATAATAATAATAAATAAATAAATACCACAAGAGAAGTCGGAGCCATTGAAAGAAATTTTCGAGAAAATATGAAAACTTTTCTTTTCGAGTTGGCAAACTTAAAAAAATATTTAGGATTAATAAGCAGTGTCGATTTTATCAACTGAAGGTATCTGCAATAACATTGGTTGAGGTACTTAAATCTATACCATGCAGCAGAGTAAGTGAAATAGTCGTAAACGGAGTCACATTTCATAAATGTTTTGAAAAGTTTGTTTTTCCTATTTTTATAATATTTACTTCTCTTGTTAAATCATGCTGGGCACAGGCTTCGAGGACGAGGTTTCTTGCGGGTTCAATGCGTTATAAAGTGATGATATTACGGTTTCAATTTTTCCAGCAAAAAAATCGAGCATAATTGGTGAAAGATGAGATTTAAACAGTCAAATAGTAGTTTTGTTAAAATCATAATACTTATTGGAGGAAGTTGGGTTTGGCACGTTAGAGCAGTTTAACGGACCATAATGCCTGTAATAGAAGCAGCCAGTGCGATTCAATCGATTTCTGAAAACCGGGAATGAGCTGCGCAAAATTTCCGACGAATGTAAATCAGGCTTTAAGCAAGTTTCAATCAAGATCAAACAGGAAAACTCCGTGCTCACTGAAGTTAGGAAAATAGAGAGAATTTTTAACGTTTTGGTAAATAAAACTTACTGGGCCTGAGGAAACATTTAGTTGTTTAAACGTGGACGGGCTACCGAATTAGTATTATGGGGTCGATCCCAAGGAATGAATTCCTTTATTAAGGATTGAACTGACCACTATGGTATTTTTTGGCAAAATTTCCATATATTTAGTCGGAACGTATACTTTAAAAGACGAAATAGGTTTAGATTGAGACGGAGACAATTTGAAAATGCTCACGAGCTTCATATTGACGTGTGGGATTTTTGTAGCCAGATAACTTTTCATATTATCCACAAAGTTGTCAGGCGCTAGTCTCGACATGATTGAGCAACAACTAAGAAAGAAATAAGGTTGAAATAAAATTTTTTTTACCAAGAACTTTAATAAAAATTTTTCGTTTACATACAGAAAAAACTCGAAAGTCAAACCTAGTTTACGCCATACATAATCAGCGCTTTGGTTTTGTTCGTTAACTTTTTTTTTTTTAATTTTGTTTTGATTCATCTATTTGTAAGTAAGCAATTTTCTTTGCAAATTAGTTTATTTTCAATTTACAGTAGTTTGTTTTTATGAATTCAACTCTAAACAACCAAACTAACGCAAAGCGTGAACAATGTGGCCTACGCCTGATTTGTCAGATTTGAGAGAGCGTTTCTCGCGGGTCTTGTGCGTACGTACAGCAAAAATATCGAAAGTCAAAAATGAAACGTAGCTAACACCATACATTAATATTGCTTTGTTTTGTGCCTTATTGTTCATGTGTGATTTCGTTGTATGGTTTCTTATTTACACGTGCGCTAACATCGTTTAACAGTATATGTAATTCTACCGTGGCGAAAAGTGCGAGGACTGTGATATTTGTCTTAATTTACTTGATTGCAAGGATTAAAAGTTCAAAACTTTTAAATAAAAAAAATTTTGTTCATAAAAATGTCGCTAGTGCCTAAAATAGGCCCTTCAATATTAAATGCTGACCTTTCTGATTTGGCTAGTGAATCTCAGCGTCTACTGGATAATGGTGCGGATTATTTGCATTTAGATGTTATGGATGGTCATTTTGTGCCTAATCTTACATTCGGGCATTCTTTGGTGAAGTGTTTGCGTCGCAAAATTAAAGATACTGCATTTGAAACGCATATGATGGTTACTAATCCACAGCAATGGATCCAACATATGGCTGACGCTGGTGTTAACATATACACGTTTCACGTAGAACCCGTGCAAAGTGATATACCAGAAATATGTCGACAAATTCAAGAAGCTGGTATGCAAGTGGGTTTGGCAGTAAAACCAGGCACAGGAGTTGAAGCTGTTCAACAGTATATCGACCTAGCCGATGTCGTACTGGTTATGACAGTAGAACCTGGATTTGGTGGCCAAGCTTTCATGAGAGACATGATGCGTAAAGTGCGGTGGTTAAGAGAACATTACCCAAATTTGAATATTGAGGTAGATGGAGGTGTTGGACCCGGAACTATTGAATACTGTGCGAAGGTATTAAGTCGATTATTAAATATTAACATTAATGTTTTTTTGGAATTTTTTTAGGCTGGGGCTAATATGATAGTTTCCGGCACAGCTCTGATAGAAGCCAATAATCAAAAAGAAGTTATTAATTTATTAAGATCTACAGTACAAACTTATACTACGCCTAACACCAATTTATAATAAAATTTTAAAATTACACCACGTTTACATATATTTAAATATGACGCAGGAATCTTTAGAATCTTTTGCTAAAAGTAGTTGGTTTTTCAATTCATACTCTTCGAAATTTTAATTTTAAAAGTGGAAGATCATCCCAAGGGATAAATTGCTGTTTTTGTCATCTACGCACATTGATACACTTCTGTCTCTAATATTGATTCAAATATGGTTTCCTCGGTCCATTTCAACACCGATTCACTGATTTCTTATGTTTGTACTCATTATTATTATATTCTTACATTTATTACATTATTGTTTTTTGTGGATCGTTGGATTCGATTCAAATTCGCGATGATTTACCTGACTATAGCGGTTAAACGTCGTAAAATATAAATCTATAATTCAGAGATTTAACAACAGGGCCGTAATTAGGCTAAGTAAAAAAGGGTAACAAAAATTTTAGGAGGAAAGAAAGAAGAAGGATTCAATGTGGTGAAATTTATAATTAAGCAATGTATTTGTATTAATGAAACAAGTTAATTTCTTTGAAAGAGAGAGAGTCATTGTAGACTTCGAAAGGACTATTTAAATCTTTACGTATTTTAAAAAAGTTAAATGACTTTCTTATATTTTCAAATGCTCGGCAGTTAAAATCTTCGGCCGCTTCTTTTATGTGGCACCTTCTACATTTGGCATTCAGCGGAGATCCAACCATTTCCGAATAGAACTTACATCCACTTATGCGCCTGTTTAGCATTTGAATCTCACACGAAGTGGCGATGGCCAGTAGTCCGAGGCGAAGTTTGGATTAGTTTTCACATCACATCCCATTTTCACATCCATTATTTTAGAATTGGGAAATTATATTTATAAAAATACAATTTGCTTCTTTAGGAGTATATAGTATAGAAAAAAAATGTGCATTAATTTCATTATTTGTAAGTTAACACTACACAAGAACAAAAAAACCCTCGATACAATATGTTATTCTGTTTTTATTTTACAAAATTTACTAAATTCACCAAACACAGACTCGCTCTTTTTATTCTTTCTCAATTGTCACCAATTCAGCTAAAATAAAATATGCGTTATATCCAAAAAAAAAACAACTGAAGTATCTGAAAAAAGGAAACACAGCAATTATATAAGAAAGGCTACACATATAAATTTTCGAAAACTTCTTGCTTGAATGATGGTTGCTTTCAACAAACTTAAAGGGGACGCATTGGAGGCGATTTTTGAAAAATTAAAGCATATCCTAACAATTTCTATGTTACGATTTCCAAATTTTAAAGGAAGGCTTAAGCTGAGAGCAGATTCCAGTAACTTTGCAGTAATGGTGTTTTAACACTGCCTGCGACGTCCACTTATATCTGGAATTTCTTCTTCTTTTTTTTTGATATTTTATCCAATTAACGAGCAAATGGCAAATGAGCCTGGCATTAACAAATAGCTGACAGCCGGCCATGGATTTGGTTGATAAATTGTGATAAAGCTTCTTTGCGAGACATATTTAATAAAGTCTTTTGAAACTTTGATTTTATATACTTGTTAATTATATATATTTATAAAATGTGTAAGCAAACTTCTCAACGTTGGAAAACTGTGCATGGTAGTATAAAAATTGCTAATCTTTGCTTCCCTGAAAAAATAACATATGCGGCAAACGCAAAGAATAAGTAAACCTTATACCTAAAAAAGTCTTTCATAATTATAAGGTTGGCAAAAGCAAAGAAAGAAGCTACATTTTTAAAATTAATAATAACTTTGATATAATAAAACCCATAACGTTGGAAATTTCTTTTTATACACAAAACATTTCAATAATTATTTTCGCTGCTTTCTTCGGCACCCATTTTGCGCTTATATTTCAGAATTGAATATTTTTGGTTAAGCACACTATAATTACATTATACCTTTTTAGAACTGTTATAAAAAGAGTCATTGAGGAAGGCAATATAATTATAGCCAATAAAAGCAACCCCGAAATAGTTGGCCCAATATTCGCCATCATTCCGCGATTTGAATATGTCTTCGCAAGAAAGGAAACGTACTTTAATGTCTTCTACTTGAATCCATATGATGGGTGTTTTATCAATTGAGTAGCGTATATTCGTTCTCATTTGTTATACATGTATTGTAGAACTTTATAAAATAAGCGTATATTCGTTCTCATTTATTATGCATGTATTTTAGAACTTTATAAAATAAGCGTATATTCGTTCTCATTTGTTATGCATGCATTGTAGAACTTTATAAAATAAGCGTATTCTCATTTTATTTGTGTCCAACATTGAAAAATCAATGTTCATATATTTTATTGAAAATAATCCTACACGCAACGTTGTTTACATATTGAAAATAAACCACGTTGGTGAGCTAACACTTTTTTATTGGTAAATAAATCGTTTCTAAGACAGAGTAAGATAAGAATGGAGAGTAAGTGGAATCAAATAAAATAAAACAAAACAGTACGAGCCGACACGTTATATACTAATTTAGCTTTACAGAAGATTATGTTAAGACGGCATTTTCCCTTTGATCTGTTATTTAACAGAATCGATGACCTTTGATCTGTTAAGTTGGGCATTTAACATTGCCGTTAACATTTTTGTTAAGTTGGGCATTTAACCATTTATTTATTAAAAGCGACTCTGTGCTTTGCCTTTCTAACAGGGAATTTAACAATTTATTTATGGCGCCTACCTCAAGGTGGAAAACCGTTCTTATATGCTTAATGTCTCTTTCTCCGTTATAAAATTAATTTAATGTACAAAGCAGTTGTAGGAATTGAATAATTGCGAAAAAAATGAAAGAAAAGAAACTCCAAAATATTAATGGAGTGAAAAATTGAGAAAAATTAAAAATATTTCAAATAAAAAGAGCGTTTGTATTATTATCTTAGATCTATTTTCATCATAAAACATGAATACATATTATATGACTGTTCACATTGAACCTTTTTTACACGCAGCAAATCAATTGTTGATTTGCTGAATTCCAGAAGAAAAAGCAATAAAAAATATATTTTTAATAAAGGAGAACTGCGACATCAGGTTTTTGCAAGTATCATCTACAGTACCGTCATCAAACAAAAAGCGCAAAAGATCAACAAATAATAAAAATAAAATATATAGAATAATGGCTGAGTCAGTGCATGTGGAACATAGCATGCATGAAATTATCACGGTTTAATTCTAAGCTAACTTGTAAAATAAAAGAAATTAAGAAAATTTTATATGAAAACATAGATTTATAAAAAAGGATAAAGATTAGATACTAAATAAATTGATACTAAATAATTTGTAATTTGTAATAATGCTTAAGGACACTCCGTCCATGAATGAATGCCACGCCTATAAAAATTGTATAAAACTATTCAGGAGACGTACAAGGGGAGATGAATGCATATTTTTGATACATTTATATAAAAAAGATTATATATTACATTTCAACCAAACCATTTCTGTGAATATATATGGAAAGAGAATAAGAGTGATAACGCAGTGCATACTGGTACAGAGGCCTCTAGTAGTAGTAGTCCACCATTCGCTTGCCGGCACGTCCCAGAGAAAGGAAAAATGTATTCTATCAATTAATGGTGTTATCAACGAGTTTTTCTCTTGTCCGACTATAACGTCGAGAACGCGTAAATTTATGTATAAAAATTTTTTTTTTTTTTTGCGTTTGAATTCGGTGACTTTGCCATTTATATATGTGTAAAAAATTGTATAAATTCTCTCTAAATTATAAAAATTCTCTTTCCTTCTGCAATCAACCCTTTTTTCTCCCTTGTGTGGGTTGAAACATGTACACACTCTCAAAATTTCAAAGAAAATTTCTGAAATTCATAAACAAAAAAAAACGCTTAGAGACTAAGAGAGATTTTAAAAATGTTAGCTAAATACATGTTGGAATTTTAACAAAGTAAAACTAGTGATGAATACAAAACATAAAGCAGAAAGACGGAATAACTGAAAATAAGAAACTGAAGAAAATTTATGGAATAGACAAACGGAAAATTACGACAAATCAAAGAATCGAGTGTTTGCGAACAAATTGAGTTGTGCGGTTCGTGGTTACAGTAATATCGGATAACGTCAATAACGCTTAAATTTATGTATAAAAATTGTATTCTTTCTTTTTACCGATATCCGCATGCATCGAACTATGTATGTATACATAAATAATACCTATTAGACATTATAACGCCTGACACGTTATAAATCGAAATTAAAGTTTTCTTTGGTTATTATTACTATTCGCATAGGGAGAAGGTAAACAAGAAATTTTATTTATTGAAAAAATCTACATATACATTTGTCTGCCGAAAAAAACGATAAACGACGACACATAACGCTAAAGTGTACGTGTTTGTGTGAAGTTGGTGTGTCTATAATACATCGCGGACAAATTGAAAAAAATAAAACGTAACGTATTCATAAATGCAACATTTACACATACAGCCTTTGTGTACATATATACATACAATATGGTCTGCTGTTGATGGCTTGTTAAGAAATTGATATCTATGAAGATGTGAAAGTATGCATACATTTGTATATATATAAAGTGGAATTTTGAATTTAAAAAGTATAATGTTTACTTTCTCGGCTATTGTCACTGAAATATAACGTGTTCAAAACAATTAGTAGTCATATTGATGTGAATGAAATATTAGTGATAAACCTTACCAAAAAAACATAAGAAAAAGGTTAAAAAAACTGACAAATTTGGTTAACTTAAAAAATGCACGTATTTGGTTTATTTAAATTTTGTAGCGTTCTCCCTTATTTCTTATTCCTTTCTGCTTATCTTTCATTTTCGCAAGATTTCTTTTTGTAGGCATTTGCCGACAAAATGAGTAAAATAGCAATTTGCTCTTGCGACATTTAATTCTCTTTTTCCTCTTACTCTTAAGGGCAACTAACAGCAGCTACAATAACAACTCGCTAGTTATTATTTCAGAATTTCATTCTTCTTCTTACTTGAACTCGCCGTATAGTCATTAGATAAATTTATATACGTGCGTACGTCTCTGTCGCTCGCCTGGCAATCTATTATGTTTATTTCGTAATTGTAGTTATATCTGAAAGATAATATAACTACAAAAAATTGTATATACGGACAGTATTGCCAGATTAAGGAAAAAATTTAACAAACGAATTGATTTATACATATTGAAATATAAAGTTTTTAATTTTATTATTGGCATTGATGACAGTAACATTTACAATTTATTTCTTTCGTATTTTTTTATGTATGTTTAAGTTTTTCCGCTTTGTCATCTAAGTGTGCTATCGTCACAATTTTAAAAAGATTTAATCTTAAGCATTCAAAATATTCGTTTTTAATTTTTATCGTTGTCAGAGCTATGCAGTCAATTAGCATTTAATTTAAACAAAGTGATCTACATATACAAACAGCTTTTTTGATATTAATTAAAGGGCGTTTATAATTATTTAAAATTCACAAATGATGTTTACCCGACGTCCCATTTCAATGTTTTGGTGCAAATCGATTTAAATATAAAAGAGAAGGCGTTGTTCTCTTTTTTCATTTTAATATAAATTGGCTAAACCAAACAAAATTTTACTAGTAAATAATAAAAAAAGGAAACACTAAAATACGTTCAATATGCTGCCACCGTATAATAAATCATCAGTAACTACAACTAATCGACACCAGCATCGGCCCTACGGCATATCATTGTTTTCGTCTTACATATTTAATTACTTTAACAACAAATGGATTTGGATTGCTGCATTGCTATTTGGATTGTTAATAGTCAATGTCAACGCTATAGATGAGGTAAGTTTTTCCTTTCTACTTAAAAATTTCCCTCGTTGAGAATTTATATAATCTTATTACGAATGTTTTTAAGCTGCATATTGGACATCTTTTTGTACCCATCATCAAGATGCATATTTATTTTGTGAAAACGTTTGGAACATCAAGAGAGAAGCTTCAGCGATATCATAAAATAATAGTGTTGATTTTTAAATTTTGAATCTATGTCTATCAGAAGTTCTTGCACGCAATTTAGTATTGAAAATGTGCCAAATTTTTCGAGCAAAGCAAGAAGGAAAAATGGGGTTTTTATGAATATAGCAATATTCTGTAACTGGTCTTTCGAAATATTACGAAATTAAATCTGAAAAAGGCTTTTATTCTCAAGGGAATTCAGTCCACCAAGTACTACTAAGTATTCCACCAATTCACCAAAATTGGAAAATGTAGATTCGTTCATTGACTTGGGTGGTTGATTGGATCAAAAGCTAATTTGCACATTGAATGCTCCTTAAATAAAACTAAATAATACTTTTATTAAACCGTGGTCAAAAACGCTCGGCAACATATTCAAATGCAAATAAGCTATACAGGATAGGTATCCTTTCTGCAGGTGTTATGTAGATTCAATGGAATCTATGACGACAGATTTCTTCTGTTAGTCTTACCGTCACTTAAGGAATGTAGATTTATCCTTGGTGTTCCCTTCTTAATTATAAATAAATAATAAAATTGACCCTACGGCATTACTTGGCGAGATAAATTTTAATGTTCTTAATCGGTATTCTAGGAACCTAATTTTCTTAAAAGTCAAGCAATGTAGATATAATTATGAGCTTTCCAATCCATTTAGAGGCTTTTGCAAAAATTTAAATGATACCTTTAATTGAGTCTTTAGATTCTCTAAATTCTATCAAAGCAATTTATTTTTTTTCCATCATAGTTTGAAGAAGTGAAGAATTTTATGTTGTGCAACCATTTAGAAAGCCAAACAGGCCAAATGGCACTAGACTAAGAGCCGGAATTCTTATAGTTCTAGAGGATCTACGGGAGTTAATCAGTTTGAAAAAATGAAAAGAACCGATAAAACTGAGTTCAGTATTAAAATCTAGTTTTTTAATATGGAAAAAGTTACATCGTTATCAATTATTGCTATTATTTACCATAATATTAATCTTTTCTACAGTTTCTTAATCGTATCTAACATAAAGAACCGACCTTAAAAACTAAAAAAATTTCGTCGAGCACACATTTTGTTCCATATATAAGCACTTTTAAAAGTGTTAGAAAACCTAATGCCAGCTATGTATCGTTGGAAAGGATGTTCATCAAACATTCACGCCATTCGTTGGGTTTTTTTGCGCTGTCGGGCTCAGCCATCCGCCAAGAAAGCATTCGCTTTTTCATTGTCGCGCTTGGTATTGTAGAAAAAGGGTTTCGCGTTAATTTTTAACGAACTAACATAAAGTGACGTTTCGTGAAGTATATTTTTTGCAGAAGATTCCTAGTAGTTGCATTTTAAATAAAAATTCTTTCAGAGCTTTTTTTAACGAAACTCTGTTAGAGGCCTAGCCGACGTCTGTTAAGACGTGTGGATAATGCCTTTGCTAATTAAATTCAAATATAATTTTCGACCAAATTTAACGACATTAATTTTTTTATCAATGATATTATTGTTCTTCATCTATCTTCCTCATAAAATGCCAAAAATTCGCGTTTGTTGCCATATAGGCTTATTTTCTCGAGGGCACTATCTTGTCAAAATGTAATTCACTTCATTTGAACGACCTTTTTATCCTATAGAAGCTTATTTTCCAGGCGTGGTAATATTTGAGGTTTATCAAAAAACTGTCCCGTCAGATCCTACTTTTCACATTAGTCGTGTCCCAAAGTGCTATTACTTAGCGGTTTTTGTCGATAATGGCACTTCCGAAATAAAACGTGACGATAAAGCTGATCATTTTGAATAGCGTCCGTCCTCGCTCCAAAGCGCGCCAGTGTGACAAACTTTGTCGAGATATACCCGAAATTGGGATGCACAGGCTAGACTATTTACTTATCTTCAGTTCTTATGGTTGTTACATACGCACAGCTTAGTAAATTTTGTATCACAAACGGTGTAGGAGATAACAAAGTATGCGGTGCAAAAATAAGTATGAAAAAAACGTTCCATGCTTACTTAAAGTATCACCGGCTACACTTTACCACCATTTACTACACGTAGTAGCAACCAACAATACTCGACCACCATTCATTATAACGCGTATTGAATTTCCCACCAATGAATGCCATTATGCTAATATTATCAAAACCTTTGCATCATCCAAAGTGAAGAAATTTGTTGAAGCCCCATAATGAATCGCGATAAGGTCAGTGGTTCCACTTGTCCTTTTTTTCATCCTTAGTTAGAAATTTTAAGTTGGAAATTACTACAGTATGTAATCGTTATTTACATGCCACCTGCCATTTGCACGTCTAACCTTTTTTACTTTTGAGTAAAAGGTGCTTTCGCTAACGTATTGTCGCATCCGCATACATCAATAATAGAGAAATAGTTCAGTTAGTTATAATCTAGCTAATTAGATTTTCGCTATTCACCAGTTTTCCTAGCACTTGATGAGGCACATGTATTTTATCTTAGATATACTTAAGCTTTAATTTAGCTACTGTCCATATAGTCGGACGCATGTGTGCAGACATGTTCTGATGGTATCAATAATTTGATACAATGGTATCAAGTCTAGTTATCTATCTATGATTACACGTATGCGCGTTGTTGTTAATGTTATGCTTTATTTGTTGTTTCCTAGCATGTACTGAATACAAAGCCCAATGCAATGAGCGCAGTACAACACACCAGAAAGCTCGTTTAATCTTATTCTATTCTAACCCATCCCAATTACATTCTCATAACGTGTTTAATCTGTTCGTTTCTTTATATTTTTCTCTCAATTTTTTTATTATAATTTTGTTTTTTCTATAAAGCGAGTTTTATTGGTTTTTGTTCTTGTTTTCGTAGCAAAGTGCGTTACTTTTTTTTGTTTTAAAAAAATTTGCTGATAAAAAATGTATTAGCGCTGATTTCTGATTGCATACGACATTCGCTTAAAAAACGCTTAGCCATCGATGCGACTGATAATATTGTCATATTGACGTTACGTTTTAGGTCATTGTGAAGCTTAACAAAAATTGCTTAGAGATGGGAAGTGAAAAATAAGTTCTGTTTCTTTTACGACCTTTCTCACTTTCATTTGCTTCCTGCTGCATAAGATGAGTGAAGAACAAAACCGAGGCTTTCATTAGGCAATACTTTCTAACAGCTGGGGTCTTCCATAAAGATTGAAATCTCTTGAAGGTATTCACAAATGTTGTTTGCGAGAATCGTTGAGCAAGGACCTTCTTGCACCTTTGACCTCAATTATTGAAAGAACAGTTTTAACGTAATGCTTTGTTTATATTTTTAACCTTGTTAAAGCTCAGGCTAATGATACAATAATCGGAATTCTCAAAATGGAAAAATACGTTTCAAAATTGGCAAAATTATTTCAAGTTCTTGCGCCCGGGCTGTCAATCCATCAGAACATCACGTTTGTCGATTCCACCTTATAAAGTTATGTAATTGAAGATATAGAACTTTTTACATTTTTATTTACTTTTTATTTGAAGGTCATCTATTTTTTACTTCTTATTGAAAGGCCATCTATTACCTTTCCAACAGTTTGACAAGAAAAAAAAGCATTACACTTCGCATTTCGTCAATATGATGGGTAGATGTTTGTTTTATAGGCTGTGAAGAATTTATCCCCAGCTTTTCTTTCCTATCGAACGCACTTCTTCTTTTATGTTGCGAATCTCTCCTATTGCGTACATCGTTCGACCTGAAGTGCGAACCGACCCTTGGGCGAAGAAAAGAAACACTGGGGGTCTTAGTTTTGAAAGCTCACCCATTTCTTGTTTTAAATTAATTCCAAGGCTACATTTATTAGATTGTCATATATCTAGTTTAATGAAGAATACGCTAACTTAATGAAAAATATGCTAGCTTAATGAAGACTTTTCCTCATTTGAAATCGAACTGCGAGCCAACAATAACTGCTTCATTTGGAACCGTCATAGGTCATTACACAACTAATGTGTTTAATTCTAACAAACATTAGTTAACTTTCAGCTGTGCAGAATACACAGCATAAATGAAAGCGAGAGTTGAATGGTTCATACGTGATAAACCGCTCACTTTTATAGCTTTTAAGGATGCTGCCTACCTGCAAACATTCCATCAGTGCTAATTGGTTATAAGTAATTTTTAAAACCGGTTCTTTTAGCCATCATGATGTTATCATTGACAAAAAAGCTTGGCGAGAAATATTGTTACAGCCATAGAGTTACAGCCCAACGAGAGCCTAATGTTCAATAATATCTTTGCCATATCTAAAAGCAACTCTTATGCTATACGACCAACTTTTGCGATTATTCAAATCTAACTTAAGGGTAAAATCTGTGATTAATTCGTTAGCTTGAAATGTATGCAAAAAGAGACAGGAAATTTGAGCAGTGCTCACTGCATGGATTGTATACTCTTATGTGAGAAGTTAATAAGAAGGTTATTGGGAGAACGAGGGCAAATTACAAAAACTCTTTGTAGTGGATACAAAACAGTCCCTTTTTTTGTAATTTTTTTTTTAGTGAATGCTGTTAAAGAATATCTTAAAAAATAATTAATAAACATAAAATCAATATTGCGGTCTTAAACAATTCGTTACTTTCGCAAATATTGCAAGATATAAAAACAAATATCAAATATTGAATTTTAGTGGAATTCAGAACAACGACTAAACAACAAGTTGTAAAAATGGCAAGAAAAATTTGCAGATAAATAAAATTCGAAGCATAAAATGATGATATGTAATTTTGTTTTTATATCCGTAAATATTTGCGCAGAACAATTTAGCTAAAAAACTAAACAACAGCGATAGCAACCAAAATAAAAAAAGAGACTTCCCACAGAATTTCTGTTATTAACG